GTGCTACATGACCTGCCCACCTCATCCTCCTTGACTTGATCATTCTAATTATACTTGCAGAAGAGTACAAGTTATGAAGCTCCTCGTTATGCAGTTTTCTCCAACCTCCTGTCACTTCATCCCTCTTCGGTCCAAATATTCTCCTCAACACCCTGTTCCTCCCTTAATGTCAGAGACCAAGTTTCACACCCATACAGAACCACAGGCAAAATTATGGTTTTATATATTCTAATTTTTATAATATTGTATTTTAGCGTCTTGTTGCACTGATTTTCATCCATGATATGAAACATGCCGAAACATGTAAGAAGTGACATATGAAATTGAGTGCACTACAAGACGGCCATTACATACATATCATGGACTAATTTTTATGTTTTTGGACAACAAATATAAATATGCGATGGAACAAGTGTATGAATGTTGGTGGAGGATAGTTAGTTAGTTATTTAGAGAGGGTGGGTTTCCCCATGCACCGCGACCAGTTTGATCTATTGTGCTTCCCTCTATGATATTCTACCAGTTTCTATACCCTACCGATAAATGGTGCGTACCATCAGTCCCGCCGAGCAAGCGAGTTCGGCCACTTGCTTAGCGGTGTCTGTAATGCTTCCCCCATCTATCAGAGGCCTTAGAGACTATTGTTGGGCGGGAAACGTCCTGGAATTTGGCTCAGTGATCCCCTTTGGGGATATGAGGTTCTTTTACGTGTCGTAAAGTTACGACACGGGACACACAGCTTAAAGTCCCTCTCGGAGGACTTGTTCCCTGAATTTTTCTGCCCTTAAAAATTCGACGACCTCCGCCGGGTATTTGAACCCGCGTACTACGAGTCATGAGGTGGGAACGTTACCTCTAGACTACGGAGGCCGCTTTGGTGGAGAATATGTCGAGAAATAAATATTTTGTCCATGTTAGAATATCACATGTTTTACGTTTTATATCCATTTGTGACCTGTTTACTGACTCGCCCTCGTATCAAGTTTCATGGACGTTACAGGACTGAAAAAATAGACTTAAAATATGAATTAGATTCTATAGTGGTCTTTAACCTTTAAAAAACAATAGTTATTGGACGTATCACCTGCTTTAACATTGACACTCTGTATTTTGTCTCCAGAACGTGTTTCATACGATTTTCAGAATGAAAAGCGATTGCTTCTCTTAACTGGTTGGTCTTTATTAACGCAGACTCTTTTGTTTTCAGTGTCAGGTAGGAACTGTGTTTTTAAATCTTATTCTAATGACCTTGATGCTTAAAGGGGATATTCTATACATGGTATTACTCTTGTCATATGTCGTATATGAAATTTTGTCGATGTCTGTTTAAGGATTAAACAGATATGCATGTGTGTGTGAAGGTTCAGTTAGGCCCTTGCATTAAGGGGCCCTTGGCAGATAAATAGATGCAAATGGAAATTGTAAATGACAGTATTCTTGTCATATACGTGTACTTCCAGATTCAGTAGGGTTTATGACAGAACCCAAAGATCCCAGACTGGTGCAAGTAAAATGCCCTTACGTAAAGTGTCCCCTAAAATGTGCCAACTTAAACTAAACAAAAACTGACCCAGAGAATATAGTGTTGGTTCAGGCCGCGCCATAGCTTAAGCGGTTAGTCATTGGCTACCCACCGCGGAGGCCCGAGTTTGATCCCGGGTCTGGTCAAGTGGGATTTTTGGTGGACGAAGTGGCACTGGGGCGGGTTTTCTTTGAGTACTTCGGTTTTCCCCTGCCAATCTTCATTCCACCAAATTCTCCATTATCATAATCACCCGGGGCAGGTACAATAGACCAATAACAGGCCGCCGTGCCGAGTGGACCCAGCTGGATTCCACCCCCCACCAAGTGAATTAGAGTAGGTTGGCTATACCGAGTTTGATCGAAAACGGTCAGGTATATTGGGCCTATTTACTTTAGAATTTTGCAGTCCTTGCTCCAGGCTGTCTTATAGATACGTTGCTTTGCATTCAAAGCAGTTCAAAATAACTGACAGGGAGGCAAGATATTAAGTTAAAATTAGCCAAAAAGCAGAACTCACTCATGGAGCTGAGCCCTTCTTGAGAAGCCGCCAAATTGTGCAGTTACTCAAGAATTTCCCCGCATTTTATGGAACTCGAAAGTTCATTGCCGTGTTCACAAGAGCCCCCCACTGGTCCCTATCCTGAGCCAGATGAATCCAATCCATACCATTCAATGCCAACCTATTTCTCTATGATCCATTTTGATATTGTCCACCCATCTACGCCTTGGTCTTCCTGGTGGGCTCTTTCCTCCCAGAAACAAAACTGAAACAATAAACACTACATCGCACGTAATTCTGTGTTGTGCGGTTTCTTAGAACAATATTGAAACATAGTTTGATGGAGTTCATTTTGCCTATATGTTTTTTATGTCACAGTTTATAAAGATTTAATTTTAGAAGCGTATATTTTGTATGGTCAGCCGATTTTCGTGTTACATATTTAAAACTGTGTTGTGGCTATGCATGATACAGCTTAGGGAACATGACAAATGTTTATGGGCATGTTCCTTTGTCCGCAGTTTGCAGTGGAAAGTCAACCGAGACACCTTTGTGTCCTCGCACGAGATTTGGGACTGACCGGCATCTGGCGCGATCTGTCGTGCCACGCGCATTGCGAATGAGCTATGCGCAAACGCGAGTGCGCGGGGCTGGCGGGGTTTGCTGAAAAGAAAGACGCTCATTGGTCAGTTTCATATAGTCTGACATCACACCATAGAGCCGCTACAATAAAGCAGTCAAGGGGGATTATGAGTAGTTGGTGCAGTGCTTTAGTATGGTCGATGTGAAACAGAACATCAAGCCACTTTACATCTAATTTATTAACTATTTCTTCTTCAAATCGTTGAATTTCCGTAACACACACTGCCTGAAATACGAATACAAGTCGATTATCGGATATCTTGAGTGAAATTATAAGTTGATTTCAAGTGATTGAAGGTAGGTTTAATATTTACATTGCTGTTAGGGTTCAGTTTGTGCTAGTGTTACTACTAACTCTGGTAAGTTTTATAAGAGGTACTTTATAGTGATTAACTGTAATTAGTCTCGTTATAATAATTAATCTATTATACAGTCATTAGTAAATTTAAGCTTATTCTATTTTATGGATATTTTAACGGTTTCTATTTGTGGAAACGGCGCGTTTTAAAGTAAATTATCCGTTCATACCAAGTGATTTAAGGTGGGTTTAATGTTTACATTGTTGGTATGATTTATAATTTGTTCTGATTGCGTACCGTCTCTCTTAAGTCTGCTCAGAGGTGTTTTATATCGATAATTGTAATTAATCTCATTAGCATAATTAATACAATTTAAATTGAGTTACCGGTACTGTTAATCGTTTCCCAAAATTATATTGCATGGGTATTTAAAAGGTTCGTTTTTATACGATTGGTACGTTGTTAAGTAACCACTTTTCATGGCCGCGTCATAACTCAAGCGGTTAGTCTCTGGCTTACCATCGCGGCGGCCCGGGTTCGATCCCGGGTCTGGTCAAGTGGGATTTGTGGTGGACAGAGTGATGCTGGGTCAGGTTTTCTCCGAGTACTTCGGTTTCCCCTGCCAATCTTCATTCCATCACTTGCTCCACAATCACCCTCACCTGTCACCTGGGGCTGGTAAAATAGGCCAGAAGTGGCCGCAGTACAAGGGACTTAGTCCCAACCCACTAGCAATAAAGAAAAACACTTCATAAAAAAATATGATTTGACTTGTCCACAGATGTCGATACTTCAATTTTACAACATTATATGTATACATATATCACAATTTTCTCCCCAACAAGCAAACTGTAAAGTTGTCCCTGTGCTTAATTAATTAACCACTACTCCATGAAGACGTATATGGGAGTGGGTGTGTAGAGCCACATTTTCTTGACCTCGGCACTAGTTGGAGGTGAGTGATCAGCTTCATGCCCCAACTGTTTTACCCCCGGTATCCATTGTATAGGAAGTTGGGTGGCCCCCATAGCCGGTCTGGACGATTGGAGAAGTGAAAATTCATGACCCTACCGGGACTCGAACTCTGACCCCTCGGTCGTTCAGCCCATAGCCAGTCGCTCTACCGACTACGCTATCCCGGCTCCTAAGAAACAAACTGTAATCTTTAAATTAATGTTGGGACGATATGAACGTTTGGATGATACATACCCGTGTCTGAAGAACAGATTTTGTAAGCTTGCCACTAAAACTTCCCCTCGAAAACCATTAAATGGTGGAACAGGGCATACTTTTGGTGGGTATTTGGAATGATAAATTCTTACGTTAATTGACAATGCTGTTTCAGCTATACAAGTGTAGAATATAATATCGAATGAGACTGGGTGGTCATGAATGGTAAATGAGTAAGGATTTGAAAGGTAGTGATACTGGTACATGAAGTTAGTGGAGAGACTCGGGACGACGACGAATAGAACCGCGTACCACCCGAATATATACTGTCACGTGTTGGGTATGTCACGTGACAAATAAATCCACGTAGCCTTCGAATTCAGCGATTATTTATTGAACTCATTCATCCACACTTACTTAGAGTCAGTAATACAGTTACTACCACTTGCAGTGTCACAACTGCTGCCTCAACTTCAATACTTGTACTGCGGCTGCGACGCCTCAACTGTCCTTGGCCGTGGCTGGATCCCTGTCTCGTTCTGCTTCCAACCCTCTTATATAGGCGTTATGCGGACCGGATACTAGACACCATTTCTCACGGTTCCGTTTCTGCTGTTTCGACAGTCCATTGTTGCGCAACGAACCTTCTGTTGTTCATCTCCAGGGAAGCGCTGCTTCGTTTTTTTGGCCTTCTCTACGCAAAGGCTCATTGTTATTGCGTTACCATGGAAGTACCTATTCCAAACACGTTACAGTACTGCAGCCGACCGCCGACGTACAGCTGCCACGACTTTCGCTCGAGCTTGGGTTCCTTTCCTCAGGATACGGGTGCTTAGGAGATGGGAGTGGAACACACTTCGGGGTTAATAAATCTGGGATCTCCAGAACACCGAATATTGCACTTTTAATTTAAAATTTCATTCAGTGGTTAATATTTGCATTGTCCTTCAAGCTAGCCACTCCGTCCGCCCTACTCGCTACCCTACTGTTAAACACTTCTCTCTTCTCTATCTACCTTTCAACTACTGTCCTCCTCCGCTCCCTAAAACCGACTGCCCTCTCTTTACCAGTCCCCCGGTTGGCCTAAAAAACGAAAAAATAGAAACATAAAAAGAGAATAAAAAGAGAAAGCCACGGGTCGAGCCCGGCATCTGACCTACATTCGTATTTTTCGAGAAGCCCGTAAACGTTTTTAGGTCTTCAAGGCACGCAAGACCCCTCCTGGCCGGTCTCGCACACGGTCAGTTCATGGGTTTATGATACTGGGAGTAAACAGGCGACGTTAGGGACAATAGGGGCACCCTTAGCCTAAGGAGGACAATAGTTGAATTACACCTAGACAGTCCCGGGATGGTATCTCGCCGGTGGAGCGTCTCTCATGGTATTAAACAGTGCATTAGTTGTTCGTACCCTTAATTAAATAATTTTGGCGAGTGACGTACGGTTACAGTACGTTGTGAAAGATCAGCTACTTGCAGCACCCAGGCAATGTCGACGTAATATTAGAATGTGTGTTAAGGAAATTGGTTATGCACGCAGAATTGTATCTTATGTTGTGTAATCTAAAAATTGGCAGTTCTATGACATATGTAGAGGATTTATTTTGGTTTATATTAACTGGCAAAGAAAGAGTCAATACAGCTTACATCAAGTTTAGGCGTTTGCGGTTACATGTCAAACGCCAACTGCATCTGCTGATTAATTCATAGTTGTGCGAGAATGTTCACAACGTTGAATTACTTTCTGATGGTCGGCGTTCTTGCCGACTCTTTGTACTTAATTGGCCGTGGCGTTCATTTGTCGCAAATACATATCTGGAGCTAGGATAGCTCAATATATTTACGGCTGGGGAATGAAAACTCGATTCTCGCCAGAGGCAGAAAATTTTCACTTCACAGCTTCCATCTGTGGAGCCCAACCGTCCATAGGTACTAGCTCTATCGATTGGGCTCAATTTAGTAGGTTTTACCTGGAGACGGCGACAGACAGGATCCAGTATCCGAAACGTTATGTTTTGAAATATAAACAGGACGATGATTTTAGGTAAAAATCAGGACGATGGATAATATCCAGAAACATAATATTTGTACTGATGTACCGTCACAGGGTTTTAGATCTGTTTTTGTCAGTCCGTGCAGCGATGTTGCTGAACGAAGTACGAACAGGGTCACTGACATTTCACGGGGGACTTCGTGCGGAAACTTACATCAGGACAATCCGCGGCCGTTGAAAAGATTTTACAGTACACACTTCAGCAGAATCTGGGGGGAAATTTCCAAAGTGTGAGACGGAACTAGACGTCCAGTCATTCTAATCTGTCCTACCACCAGAAGCAAAATAAACGTACGAACTTTGTCCCTTTGCTTTAATTAAGTACCACGCCATGGCGTATGGGGCAGTGGAGGTAAAGCTCTCTCTTTTCCTACAGCCCTTTTACCTTGGCCGCTTTTTAAGTTTTTTAAGCCTATACACAGTCGGTAGGACTCCTTGGACGGGAGATCAGCTCGTCGCAAGGCCACTACCTACACACAGAACAATACAAACAGAATAAACGCACACAGACGTCCATGCCTTGAGTGGGATTTGAACCCACGATTCCATTGTTTATGCTTTGACCGCGCGGCCACAGTAATCGGCTGGTAACGCTCCACCAATCTTAATTTCGGCTCTGCATGGAGGTGAGTGATGAGCTTTGACCACCCTGCCGCTTTACTGCTGTGGAAATAGCCACCATTACCCATTGGATATGAGGTTGGGAGCACCTCAGCCGCCCTGGACGCTGCGGAAATCTCTCGCCGCTGTCGGGAATCGAACCTCGCTCGACCGACCAGCATGTAAACTGGTCATTATAAGAAATGAGTAATCACAGCTGTCGTATCTGCAATAAACGTGGAAAATACACGCTCAATTGCACGTGCCCCAGTTCTTAATCAGTAATACACTAGATGGAGGTGAGTGGTCAGCAACACGCCCCTGCCACTTCACCCCCGGAGAAAGAGCTTCCTATATTCCTGTGGGCATACGAGCCGGTCTGGATGCTGTGGAGAAGAAAGCTCTGCTTGGGAATGGAACTTCGGTCGTCCAGCCCTTAGCCCGTCGCTACACCGACTGATGTATACTGATCATACCGGACCAGAATGAGTAATGGGCGGGACTGGCTGTTGGGTTCATATCTGCCTGTGAAGTACGCAATAATCAGGCCTTATGAGTCAGCTTGATATGAGTTGATAGTCGACACACCCGCACAAAAATAATCTTGTCCGAGTGTGAGCCGGTTTTTCCCTTGCCCAGAATGCAGTGATAAGCTGTTGAAATCGGAATTCGGCGTCGTCAGTCGACATCAACATCAGCCAGCCGGAAGCAGGAAGTGTCAGGTTGGTCACAAATATAACCAGAGAAGGAAAAATGTCGGTTTGCCCCGCCATACGAGAGCAAAGGGTGCGTAAAGTTTTCTGTGTGCTGACGTCATATTTATTGTCCCGGCGATCACGTGGGGGAAGGTGGCATGAACAGCTCATGAGGATATGAGAAATGATTAGAATATTTCAGAGACGTTGATATTAAAAAGAGTCTTAAAGAAATTGCGTACGGACTGGGTTGCACACGGACAGCGTTCAGTTTATGGCTTTTGTGAACGCGATAATGAACCTTCAGCAGAAAATTTCATAACCAGCTGAGCAGCTGTTAAAATAGTTTTATTCCCGACGCTCCACGGCGTCCAGAGGCGTCCTCTGAGGCCCACTCAGCTTTCTAGCGAATGCGTACCGGGGTTAAAGCGGCCGATGCGTGAAGCAGATCACTCACTTCAATCTAGTGCCGAGGTCATGA